GGCCAGGTTCCGCAATACGCCCCCCCGCCAACCGAACCCCCCTCCCCCTCCGCCCCAAATCAATGGAGAATGGCAACCGGATGAACTCCTGTGACAGGTGAGGGAGGAAGAGCACAGCACAGCACAGCTCTCCCCTCTCACTGTGTACATTGGCAGCAGGGACAGGAGACAGACTTGGCGGCCGGGGGGGAGACAGAGCCAACAGAGAGAGGTAGGTGCAGGGGAGGAGGGGAGGACGGACAGGCAGCACACATTTTACAAGTGATTGCGGCGACATCCTTCCCAAAGCAGGACTAAATGTAGAAAGCAACTTACCTATATGTGTATCTATATGTGTATCTATATGTTCCGGGCGCCGGGGGACTCCACGGCGCTGCGGTCCCTTGGCTCCCTGCCGCCCCGAGGCCTGGCCTTGTGGGGAATCCGGGCCTGCATACAATATTGCCAAGATCACTTGTACAGAACAAGCGGTGGCTTCCCCGATGAGCATTTAGCTCTGCTTGCCCAAAGCAGGGCTAAATGTAGAAAACAATTACCCGCTCGGGCATCGGGAGATAGGAATTCCACACCCTTGCTGCCCCGAGGCCGAGCCTTGGTTGGCCTTGTGGGAAATCCGGCCCTGCCCCTCGCCATTGGTGCCGTCTCTGAATAAAAAGTATTTCATCTTTCAGCCCAAACTTTTCTTCTTTTATGATCGTTAGACCCTTCTCAGACTTCTGATTTCTCTCAGTTTGCTCGCTGGAGAGATGTCTCCTGACTTCCTGTCCACATGACCCATAAAAATAGTTCATTTCAGTATTATTTTGGTAATCTGCTTGCACGGGATGCATAAAAAAAAGGAAAGGATTGTTACTCACCCAGTCCATGCCTGTGCGTTGACATTGGCGGCATAACCGACCACGTCTTGGTGACCGGGTTGAAGCATTCCACAGTGTTGGAGGTTTTCAGGCCATCGCGCCCTCCAACCACATAGAGCTTGTCGTCGATCACGGCGACTCCAAATTGGAGGCGGCGTCCGCTCATGGTACTAATCTGCACCCAACTGTTTGTCCTCAGGTCATACTTCTCGATGGTCGTTGCACCTGTAAAGAAAGAGAAGACACATCAAATCACCATTTCACACCAAGGATATGTACGTGTCATTCCACAGACGCTCCAGCATCGGAACTTATAAGTAGGCAACAAATTGCTACGCGCTGTACTTACTATATCTAAAAATAGAGAACACATATGAATCATGTTGTTGTGTTTAGCCGTGCACAAAGGCTCTTCTGTATCTTCTCTCTTTTTGGCAGAACGGAGATCAAGTGTAGCATTTTTGGGCATGCTCTGTGGCTTTTTTTTCCCAGGATGTGTGGGCAATACTTGGAAGTGTCTATGCTGAATCACGAATACACTATATGGTCAAAAGAATGTAGACCCCCCTGCAATTGATGGAGTTCAGGTGTCTCCAATGAAGGTTCTGTTAATACTACAGCATACAAAGACATTGTAGACAATTGTGCTCTTCCACCCTTGTGGTCACAGTTTGGTGAAGACCCTTTTCTGTTCCACCATGACCCACCATGTCCCCTGTGTACAAAGCCCGCGCTATAGTGACATGGTGTGACCAGTTTGATGTGGAAGAACTTGAGTGTCCTGCACAGAGCCCTGGCCTCAACCCCACTGAACACCTTTGGGATAAATTGGAACAGACTGTGAGCCAGGTCTACTCATCCCACATCAGTACCTGACCTCACTAGTGGGCAAATTCCCACAGACACCCTTCAAGTGACTGGGCTCATGTTTTCCAATGAAGGCTCCTGTTAATACTACATCACACAAAAACATTGTAGACAATTGTGCTCTTCCAACCTTGTGGTCACAGTTTGGTGAAGACCCTTTTCTGTTCCACCATGACTGTCCCCTGTGCTCAAAGCCAGCTCCATAAAGACATGGTGTGACCAGCTTGGTGTGGAGGAACTCGAGTGTTCTGCACAGAGCCCTGACCTCAACCCTACTTAACACCTTTGGGATAAATTGGAACCAACGGTGAGCCAGGTCTACTCATCCCACATCAGTACCGGACCTCACAAATGAGTGCAAATTCCCACAGACACCCTTCAAGTGACTGGGTTCTTTTGTTTCCAATGAAGGCCCCTGTTAATACTCCATCATACAAAGACATTGTAGACAATTGTGCTCTTCCAGCCTTGTGATAACAGTTTGGTGAAGACCCTTTTCTGCTCCACCATGACTGTCCCCTGTGTACAAAGCCAGCTCCATAAAGACATGGTGTGACCAGTTTGGTGTGGAGGAACTCAAGTGTCCTGCACGGAGCCCTGACCGCAACCCTACTTAACACCTTTGGGATAAATTGGAACGTTGATCATGAGCCAGGTCTTCTCATCCAACATCAGGATCTCACAAATGGGCACAAATCCCCACTGACATCCTCCAAAATCTTGTCAAAAGCCTTCCCAGAAGTGTGGAGGATGTTATAGCCACAAAGGGGGGCAACTCCATATTAATGTTCATGATTTTGGAATGGGATGTCCAACCAGCTCATAGTGGTCTGATGGTCAGTGGTCCACATGGTGTAAAGAAGGGCACACATGCAAATACAGAAATACTGTTAGATCCACTATAGAACATTGTAAACTTTGACTTATGTAGGTTTTCTTAAATTAAATAAGCAATCAGGTTACTCTTAGTTATCAATCTAGAGATCGCTGCTGTGAAGTTTCATCTGCATTCCGTACATTCTGCAGACTCTCTATGGTGGGCTCTGCTGGGTCACCCTCAGGTGGGCTGGTCACACTCCTTACCTGTCCGCCTCTTCTTCCTCCGTCGCCAGGCCCACTCCGTCCTCCATCACCGGGCCCGCCTCCTCCTCCGTCACCGTCCCTGCCTCCTTCTCTGATGCTGACCCCCCCGGGCCCCGCCTCCTCCTCCCCGCCACGTCCAGCCTCTTCCACCGCTGCTGCTGACTCTCATTGACTCATCAGCGGCTATGGAGAAGAATGCAGCGCTGCACAGATCACGGTGATCTGAACAGCGGCACGTTCGAACCCATAGCGACCCAGGCGGCCCGCACGGCATCAGGGGGGTGTCCTGGCCGGGCCGCATGGGTCGCTATGGCTATTGTTACGCCACTGGTTACATAATATAAAATCAAATGCACTTTTTTTTTATAGTTGTTAGCTTCAAAAGAACCCGAGATGAAGATTACAGATCACTTCCCTGCAGTTGAGACCGAATTTTTCAATTGAGGAATGTTTTGATAATGCGGCACAGGTGCCTTGCCTTGCTCAATGGAATTGTAACTGGAACCAAAGGAAGCTTTTGTCCCACTGAAACGCAAGCCTCTTCAGCCAAACCTAAGCAGATTATGATAGCCTATCTGAACTTACTTATGGCACTTGGTCCAGGCCCTGAGGAGCAGTGATCTGTACCCATTGGTCCTCATTGCTGGAAGACAAGAGTTCATGGCATTCAAGCCAATAAGAAGGAACTCATGCCTCTTCAGCCATGAAGTCAAAGCTTCTTTCTGAAGCTTTTTTTTCCCACTGACCCCCACTTACAAAATATGTATTCATTGATGTGGTGTTCTCTTTCGCCTCTGTCCTAGTGATGACTTGACATGGCCACCGAGGTCCTATTAGGGTTTTTTAGTTCAAGATATTTTTATTAGGCTTTACACACTTATATAACATTCTATTCGAAAGGCAGTATAAACATTTTTGAAGGACATGGAACATTTAGTTAATATTCTGAATAGTTAAAAGAGAACTATGGAGTAACTTTTTTATCCCATAGTTCTCTTCAGGGTCATAGGAGGACATATTCTAATGTCCTCTAGTGACTCAAAGCTCAGTATATAGTGAGCTACAGCTTGCTATATACTGAGAGCATCGCAGCCGGGACCGGTCCTGACAATACTGTCTGGATCCACCTAGATAGCTGACAGCGGGCTCTGCCTATCTACAGGCAGAGCCAGCTGTGCCCGCCCCCGTCCGTTCCTCCAGTCAGGGCTGGAGGAACGGAGCGGGGAAGGAGGGAATCCCTGCGGTGACTGGCAGTCACTGCTCTCTGCAGGGAGATGAGTGGGTAGTGAGCGAGCGATAGTATGTGCTCACTCACTTCCCGATCTATAGAGCCAACATGTGACAGTTTCATTGTCACATGTCGGCTCTAACTATGAGGATGAGTGAAAATCACTCGCCTAATAGTTCTCCTTTAAGGATTACTATAGAAAGAAGGAGGTCAGGAGTGATGAAAAGAACCACAAATTGGGAATAACCAAAGTAAGGGAGGGGGGATGGGACAGGAAAGCCGGAGTAGAGTCCAGAGATAGGAATAAGGACTAGAGAGGAAGGAACGGAGAATGGGAAAGGAGGTACATAGAGGGGATGGGGGGGGCAGTGGTAGTCCCCCCACTGCAAGAAAAGCTATAGCCCCAAGTGGGGTGTTTATAAGGTCAACGATTCAATGTGGAAATGAGCAGGTAAAAAGTTCTCCATCCAAGGGGTCCTGATGTGATATTTATCCATGTATCATTTTGTTGCGCTTTGAGCTTCCCAAAAAAACATGGTGTAGGACATAATGGTATCTCTTCCAGGAGCCCAATGGGGCAATTTAACTCTTAGTGTTCTTTTAATAATTGGTTAGTACATGGTATCCATAAATTGTTCTGTATAGGGAATGTACTATCATCCCTCCATATTCAGAGACCACCCATAACCAAAATGGGAACTTATGGGGGTCAATGTTATTCAAACACAGTCAATGTAGAATTTAAACATTTTCATTACATTGTGTGGTAGTGCATGGCAATGCCACTGTGTTATCTCCATTCCTGTCTCCAGAATTTGAGTGGCCAGCGCATACCGATGGCACAGGTGTGCACAGCCTTTAAAATAAAGGTGTTGGGAAGAGTTCAGGGCTCCACCTGGGGGACAGGAAAACTCCACCCAGGAGTCAGAGTGGAGTCCCAGGGTGCTGCAGGCTGGAAAAGCCAAGTGTGCAGTTTAGGACGAGACTGAGACTGGAGCAACAGACAGGGGGCCTGAGGTCTAAGGCCAGAGCTGCGGTGCTGCAAATGCAAAGCCAGGAGTCTGGATGGGCATGTGTTGCCAAGATATGCTAAAGAACCCCGGCAAGGGTAATTGTTCTTGTTTGTGAACTGTCATTTAATAAAAGTGGGCAAGGAAAACCTGAAATGAAGATTTCTGCGAGTGGATGCGTCCTTAATGCGCTACTGTTTGGAGCTAATCCACACAATTGTTATATGAAAAAGCGCCCTAAGATGTTCAGCTAAAGCGTAAATGGGGCCTAAAATCCATCCTTGTGCTCCGGTGCCTTTGCCTAGATGAAACAATATACAGTATCCGTATCTAGGGCCGCTTTATTATGCTAAATATGGTGCTTTAGGAACCTGAAAAGATCCAGCGGTATCATTATTCTTCAGATCATTTATGCTCTCAGAGATTATAGCTCCATCTCTTAAATTAAATTCCCTCTCTCTCCTCCCCATTCTCTCTTCTCCCCATTCTCTCTCTCTCTCTTCTCCCCATTCTCTCTCTCTCTCCTCTCTCTCTCTCCCCATTATCTCTCTTTCTCCTCCCCATTCTCTCCCAATCTCTCTCTCTCCCCCCCCCATTCTTTCTCTCTCTCTTCCCCATTCTCTCTCTCTCTTCTCCCCATTCTCTCTCTCTCTTCTGACCATTCTTTCTCTCTCTCTCTCTTCTCACCATTCTTTCTCTCTCTCTCTCTCTCTCTCTCTCTCTCTCTCTCTCTCTCTCTCTCTCTCCCCTCCCCACTCTCTCCCTCTCTCCCCTCCCCATTCTTTCTCTCTCTCTCTCTCTTCTCCCCATTCTCCCTCTCTCTCTCTTCTCCCCATTCTCTCTCTCCTCCCCATGCTCTCTCTCTCTTCATTCTCTCTCTCCTCTTCATTCTCTCTCTCCTCCCCATTCTCTCTCTCTCCTCCCCATTCTCTCTCTCCTCCCCATGCTCTCTCTCCTCTTCATTCTCTCTCTCCTCTTCATTCTCTCTCTCTCTCTCTCTCTCTCTCTCCCTCTCTCTATCCCCTCCCCATTCTCTCTCTCTCTCTTTCTCCTCCCCATTCTCTCCCAATCTCTCTCTCCTCCACATTCTTTCTCTATCTCTTCCCCATTTTCTCTCTCTCTCTCCCCATTCTCTCTCTTCTCCCCATTCTCTCTCTCTCTCTCTTCTCTTCTCTCTCTCTCTCTCTCTCTCTCTCTCTCTCTCTCTCTCTCTCTCTCTCTAAGAGATTTTGGAAGCCTGAGAAGGAGTGTTAACATGAAAGATTGTGTTGTATGATCTCAGTGTGATGCGCTGAGTGGATTGTCTGTGTATTTGGCGGAGTCGACACTTCTATCTATAAATCATTGTACATCTTGTGTAGGATAATCCTCCGTCTACATCGCCCAGATTCTGAGTGCCATTGTATTGATTGTGTTTTGTGTCTGTGCGTCACTCTGGATGAAGGTGACAATGGAGGGGATTGCTTATCACATAGAGGATCGATGTTAGGACCCCCGTAAGCACTTTTCTTTGATGGCCTGATGTACTTTGCTGTCATCTGAGACAATTAAAGTCATTGTTCTTCCGCGGCTATAATAAGAGTGAA